AATAATATTAATATGGATAATATATTATTGACTAATTAAAAATATAGATTTAAAAAATAAGTTGTAGGAATGACTAGGGTGCAAAAATTTGTAAATCATGAGCTCGCTGGACACATCATAATCGCCGTATTATCAATTAATAAGTAATTAACCACGTAAAAAAAGCAGTCCTAAATGGGTAATTAATTTTATTTTGAATTTTTGATATGTCTATGTAATAAAACTTTAAAGATTTTCTGGTCAATGTTAGTAATATCTATTCAATACTTGATATTATTTACTAGTCCACAAGAAAAAAGCGGCAATACAAAAATGCAACACAAGCAGATGAACATCTAGTTAATGTCTGCGACTGTCAATTCGATAAATGATTCAAGAAAAAATCAGATGTGGTAGTTACGAAAACCATACAGATTTGCCTAGTCTAATAGTTCCATGGTAAACAGTTTTTAATGGTAATTTATTTTTGTCTGACATTTATTCGAAATGCGGTCGCTGTTGTTCCAAAAAACTTGCTAAATCCTATAATTCTTCTCTGACAGTCGATCCCATGTTAATAATAGACGCATTTTTGTCATTGTCCGAACCAGACAATAATCAATATCAATACTTGGGCACAATTTATTGTCGAATAAATATATATACAATTAAGATGTATAACAAAAACGTACGCGAAACTTGCTTTCTTTTTCTACCATACGTATGTAGGTATGTACCTACCACGCGAAATCGTCATTTTCAAATAATAATTAAGGAGAAATTAATAAGGCGACGCGAAGCGGAATCAAGCAAGGAACCGCCGAACCGAAAACGAAGAAGAATAATAAGATGATGAAGAAAGGCGAAAGAAGAGAAAGAACGAACATACGCCAAGGCAGCAAGTAAGGAAGCAGCGGGTACCTCTACGCTACAGCACTGCGTTCTCGCCTGTCTTTCCCCGATCCTCCATAGCATGCACCTGTACGCGCGTTACAGAAGAGAAAAAGAGAGATAGAGGGAGAGAGAGAGAAAACAACGAATGAACGAAAAGTACGACGGCATCGGCAAAGACACGTCGCCGCTACGACAGCACAGCAGCAGCGTCAGCATAGAAAACGGCGCCGCATCACAGCAGCACCGGTTTCAAGCAGACAATCCATTGCCTTTGCGAGCAAATGCTGCTCCAGTGCTCGACTGGGTCGAACGTGCTACGTTACTTCGACCATCCCCTTTAGTGTCTATACTCACGTCGTTGCGTCGAGACTCCGGCAATCCAATTAAAACTTTTCTACTTGAAAAAAGTATTTTTAAAATTAGATTAATTTGACAGTATATGCTGAAATTTTTGAAATTCAGAACCTTTCGCTTGCAAATAAAAATATTCTCTGGTTTTCCAACGGTTAGCAAATTCCCTGAGAATTTCAAGTTTTCCAAGTTGATCTACAAAACCTTAAACTAGCATGCTAAAATGAACTAATTTAGCGTACACCCTGTATATTATATCACCTGTAGATGCACGTAGTGGGTATTTGCATGCGCAATGAAACAACTTAATCCGACATCCAGTGCAATACAGCTGTTGTAATTAATTAAAATTTGCCGACATCTTAATCGATTACGTTAACGAGAAAGTAGTGCCAATGCAAGCGGCGGGGGTCGACGTAAATGGGACAGCGGACGTGCCATTGCACGCGGTCTTAGTTATCTTTCAATTGTTTTACACGTCGTAACTTAAGCCCCGTGCGGAACATCGACATGCAACGTTGCCACAAATGAAAAATTTTATAAACACAAAGTACCTATACGTATAAAAAAAGAGTACACATCAAAATTGGTACAGAACAAATTAATGAATATAATCTTCAAAAGACAACGTTATCAAAAAAAGGAATCATTTACCTCCTCTTCTGCTAGCAATTAGTTCGGTAAATGTCTAGATGACAGGGGGTGGGTGGGATCGAAAGAGGAGGTTTTCCCCACCACTGTACCATAAAAAGTTCGCGGCGGTCTCACACCCATAAAAAGTTATGGGGGTTAGATGGGGGTGGGGGTAGGGGGAGATCGAAAAAGGGTGGTCACCTGAGTAAAACTTCATAAAAAATTTGCGGCGGTCTCACCTCATAAAAAGTTATGGGGGTTGAAAGTTTATTTTGACAATTTTCATACACTATAATTCAA